CGAGAGCAGGTAGACCGCATCAGAGCGTCACGACGCACAGCGAGAGCAGGTAGACCGCATCAGAGCGTCACGACGCACAGCGAGAGAACAGACCTCGTGAGCTGGGAACTTTTAAACACTCAGGTCATACAGTGCGAGGTGTAGCTGCGTGCAGCGATTTAAAAGATGGTACAGAGTATGCCCGGCTTCAGGGAGAGGCTGGAGTAGAGCTGCTGAGGAGGACCAGACATCTTTATCTGATGGACGCCTCCCTCTGAGGGGTTGTAGGGACGTCCCACCAGCAGGAGGACCAGGGGACGATGTCTGGTCTCTCTGCTGTTCTGCAGCGCCTCTGGCTTCCCACAGCTGAGGCAGCAGGAGGTGAAGAAGACGAGTTCCTGGTGGAAATGAGTCAGTGGGGAAAACAAAGCTCCTTACAGACACCTGGGAGACGTCTCACCTTCTCTATCTGCTTCTGCAGGTTCCTCACTCCAGACTCTCTGCAGTACTGTCTGATGAGCAGACTCAGGGCATCCGATGAGATGGAGGCCTTCTCCTCCGTCAGGCCGCAGAGCGTGCGCAGCTGGGGGACCAGGTAGCGCTACACAGACACAGGATTAGAGAAGCAAACAGAAGCTGAACGTCTCTCTGGCTCTGAGGTGTGTAGAACCTAGTGAGGTCTGAAGCTGCTCACCTCCAGGAGGTCTGAGGTTAGGCCTCAGACCTCCTGGAGGAACTCAATAGACAGAATTTCTAAACATGGATTCCATTTCTAGAAGTCGTTACACAGAGGCAGCAGCGGCTTCATCCTGTCAGCTAAAGCTCGCCTCCATCCCATGATACTAATAGATGAGACCTTCTGCAGAACCAAGACTTTACATCACATCATTGTTTTACTGTCACTGCAGCCAAACATTGCAGGAACATTTGCTCAGTCGCCCTCAGTACAGCGGCCGGCTAGCAGCTCCCGGCCGGCTAGCAGCTCCGGCCCGGCTAGCAGCTCCCGGCCCGGCTAGCAGCTCCCGGCCCGGCTAGCAGCTCCCGG